ATCAAATGCAGACAGAGCACAGAAAGCCAGCAACACACAGCCCATGGGGTGCCAAGAGGCTGTGTTATGTACACCACTGTGCTTCCCGGTTGCCTCTGAGAACCTGATGAGAATGGAAAGCTGTTCACCAGTAAAAAAGCTGCCAGGTCAATATCCACAAATCTAAGTCTGCACAAAAGTCTAAGACGGGTCTGTAAACCCCTCCTGTCTCTCCCTGGACCCCTGGTGTGGGTAACCCTCGGTTAGGTCCCATGGCTATAGTACAAAAGTACACAGTATGCTTCGTCTCTTCTCCTTCTCTAACTCTGCCTTTCTTTTCTTTCTTTCTTTTTTTTTTTTTAATTTATTTGACATGTAGAGTTACAGACAGTGATAGAGAGAGACAAAGGTCTTCCTTCCACTGGTTCACCCCCCAAATGGCCGCTGCGGCCAGCGCTGTGCAGATCCGAAGCCAGGAGCCAGGTGCTTCCTCCTGGTCTCCCATGAGGGTGCAGGGCCCAAGCACTTGGGCCATCCTCCACTGCACTCATGGGCCACAGCAGAGAGCTGGACTGGAAGAGGAGCAACCGGGACTAGAACCCAGAGCCCATATGGCATGCCAGCGCCGCAAGGTGGAGGATTAGCCACGTGAGCCACGCGCCGGGCCCTAACTCTGCCTTTCAAATAAATAAGAAAATAAATCTTAAAAATATAAGTACACAGTATTCATCTACAAGGGCAGACTTTTCTCAAAACAGAATCGAAGCCAATTGAGAGAGCAGCACTGGCATCCAATCTGGGCACCAGTTCAAGTCCTGGTTGCTGCACTTCCGATCCAGCTCTCTACTACTGGCCTGGGAAAGCAGTGGAGGATGGACCAAGTGCTTGGGCCCCTGCACCCATGTGGGAGATCCGGAAGAAGTTCCTGGCTCCTGGCTTTGACCTGGCCCAGCTCTCGCTGTTGCAGCCATTTGGGAATGAACCAGCAGATGGAAGATCTTTCCCTCATTCTCTCACTCTCCCTCCATAACTCTGCCTTTCAAATAAATAAAATAAATCTTTTAAAAGAAGAGCAGAAAACAAAAATCCAGGAGTCATTTGTAAGTCTGCGATTCTTATAGTTTAAACTTGAGATAATAATAAAAAAAAAACAAGCCAATAGGAACTCAATGTCATTTTTTCTTTTCTTCATCTCTCTTTTTTTTTCTTATACACATGATTAGCACTTGATGCCAAAAAAAATGTCTGTCTTTACAGCAGTACATGAAGGCTGAGTGGACTCTCATGAGGAATGTTGACTCAGGAGAGAAAACCGTTATCACATCACCAAGCACTTGGCCAAAAATTCTCCTGAAGTGCTTCACTGTGGGCTGACAAATCCATGCAAATCATTAACATGAACTTCACTCTGTTTTTAAATCTAAATGGACTATTGATTCCATTATCTTGGAATAATTATTGCAAGTAGACAAAATAATTCCTTTCTTGTATGTGTTGGGATAGAGCAAAAAGTTGGGCTAAACGTTCCTGAGTACAAGCAGTAGTATGGAGAAAGTACTCAGAGATGATCAATCGCTCCTGGTGGACCCATCTAATACCCAGCCTCCCTAGTGTGCCGAACTCGCCGCTGAGCTTCTGTCTGCTGGCACGACTCTCACGCATCGCCAGCCGCAGGAGCGTGAGAAACGTGCAGTGCTCATGGTTGACTCCCTGCGCCCAGCACACAGGACCTCACACAGAGCGGGAGCTCCTCAGGTGTGCACAGAAGCATTTCAAGGAACTAAAACAACATATTCCCAGTCACTCCTTTTCTAGGGCGCACACAGAAGTCAAACTGCTACATTATTTGCTCATCTTCAGTTTTCCTAAGAAATTCTGTCTTTTCTAATCCTTTGTCCATTTTTCTTCTGGATTATCCATCCTCTCCCTATCAACCTCGTCTGCAGAGTTGAAGCATTCGTGCTGTTCATCATTCGTCTGTTACCTTGGCAAACATTTCCTCCCAACCTGTCCCTTGTCTGACCTCATACCTTCTGTTTACGCTGACTGCTGTTAACTTCTGTGGAGGGACACTCGAACAGGACTCTTTTGGGCTCTCTTTGGCTTCAGGCCCACTGCTCACAGGCCAGTGGGTGATGCCTGTTGACCTGGCAGGACTGCCAAAGAGAGGGTTTGAGCGAAACAGATTTTGTATCCCATAGAGCAACCATCGGCTGAAGGTTCCCCCCAGAGGGCTGAGCAGGTCAGAACCAGGAAAGGGGTTCCAAACTCCACCCCCGCCACCGCTGCACCCCCTTCCTGGAGCTGGGGAACAGAGCTTCAGAAGGCCAACGGGAAAGGCTCATGTCCCCACGATGGTGCCCCGGTCCCACAGTTCATGCCACGGGCACTGCTGCCCACGTGATAACGGAGCTGTGGCACTGCAATGCTGCTTTTGGCCCTACCACACAGAGTCCTGTGGTCTGTGCACTTGTCTCACACATGTATACATACCAGAGCATGCTCTTCATACACTAGAAGTAACAGGTGTTGGTGTATCTGTCTTCACAGGAAAAACATTCACAACTGCCAAAAGATGGGAGCCACTTGACTGTCCATCAGTGGATGAATGGATACACTGTGAGGTATCTACCTATATGTTGGATCACTACTCAGCCTTAAACCAAGAAATTCTGGACACAATGTTTCATGAAATAAGCCAATTGCAGGACGACAAACACAGTATGATTCCACTTAGATAGGATGCCAAGTAGAGCCAAATTTGAGCCAGAAGCAGAATAGTTACCAAGATCCAGAGGAGGGGAGGTGAGGAATGCTTACTGGGCAGAGAAATTCAGTTTTTCCAAGGTGAAGTGAATTCTGGAGACTGGATGCACAAGCATGTGAATATAATTCACTACTGAAATGTATCCTTAAAAGTTAAGATGGTCAATTTCATGTTACATCTATTTTATGATTAAAATAAGATCATTATTCAGAAAAGATAACTAAATAAAAAAGGAAATTTGATGGTTATTGGTCATGCATCAGTAATGCGGGAACACAATAATGAGGCATGACCAAATGTTACTGGGTCTCCATGCCTATCAGGTATCGTGCCAGCGCTTCATATGCGTGAACCCATTTAGTCCTCATTTCAGACCCATGAGACACGATCTGTTTTACAGACAAGGAAACTGAGGCACAGAAGGGTTGGGCTAAGGTCAGAGTACATGAAAAGAGGTGAGCCAGATGCTACCCTGGAACTTGCCTTCTAAGCCAGCTGGCAATGCACAGAGTTCACTGGCAGGGAGAGCACCCTCCCAGCCTCTCAGATCAGAAGGGATCAGAGCCATAATTAGCATAATCGCTGACATTTGCATAGTTCTCCATGTTTAGCAAAGCACTTTCTCACTGGATACTATTCATTAAAACACATTAATACTTATTCTTCTTTTATTGAAAGAGCCCTAGAGAAGTAAAGGAACCGGCCTCGGGTCACACCACCAGACAAGGCTCGGATCCCCCGGCTTCCAGCTGTGGCTCACTGCTGCCCATCCACAGCATGATGGGCACATGAGCTCCCCAGCGCATCCAACTCCTCATTATTCAGATAAGAATTGCTACAAAGGACACACAGAGAGGTCAACGCTTCATCCAAGGGTCATATAGAGTGCTAGTGTGCTCTGTGTATGTACTCATGCCTTTAAAGCTATTTTGCCATGGCGAAGCATATTCTATAAATACGTGTTTGATAAAGGAAGGAATGATACAGAGGCACAGAGCTCTGTCAGCACAAAACAGAGTGGTTTTTTTCCCGGCAGCCCTTTTATTCCCAGCGTTGATGCATTAGAAGCATCACTTCACTTATGCACCCGCCTCTTCTGTGGCTGCCTTTGCCCTGTCTCCTTGTCCATTAGCTCTGCTATTACGCATGATCAATCAAGCGAATCCATTTAGACAGCATGTCTGCCTCCTCCGGTAGTGGAGCTGGTGTGGAGGCAGCCAAGCTCAGGACTGCTGTACAAGTCAGACACCTGAGGAACAGAACTACATAAATCCTCACTTGATCTTGACTTTGTATATAAAGAATTTGGTCTCAGTAACCTTCAATGAACTTTGTGATGTGCAAGCACAAAAGTACAGCCTTAGAGTCTTCTGTCTGCAGAATCTTTTCTGGTCGAATAACTCACTTCTGAGTTCAATACAAGGCTGATGATAAGTGTGAAAAGGATGACTGTTATATTTCATTACAGGCATGCGCGTGGCTAGTGGGAATTATTTCTAGGCGTGTTCAGTTTGTGGATGTGATCCCACGCATGTCACATGAAGGTACCTTCTAGGAGTCCTGGTTTGCTTTTGTCTCTTGTTTCCTCCCAGCCTAACTGAGCAGAGTCTGCAGCAGGACTCCGGACAGAACGTGCAACCAAAGCCAACGTGGTGCAGGCACTACCGAGAACCTGACAGCAGCAAAAAGGGTGAAGTCCTACCCGTGAAAACTTCCAGGTCAAAAACAAAAACAAAAAAACAAACAGTAGGATTCCAGGAAAAGAAAACGGACTCTGAGTTCTGAGTACCAGTATCGGTGCTACTAATGACACTGGCTACTATTTAATGAGCACTAGACAGTCCGCTCCCTGAGGGCCAGGCCCGGTCTGTTTTGCGTACCCCCGGATCCCCGGCTCTGAGCAGCTTGCCTTGTAAATGGTATGCTCAGTGAACACTTGCTGAACGACTGAACAATTGTGTTAAATTTTCACGATAACCCTATTGTTAGCACTATTTGAAAGAAGAGAAAATTGAGGTTTGGTGGTAATTAAAATGCATTGGGGTCTCCCACTCACAGCAGATGTCAAACCTTGTATTCAAACCCATTTGTACTTGACAGGATCACCTAGAGTTCAACCACAAAATAATTTCATTAGCATTGACCAGGTCTAAAAGAATGTATTTCACGCCAGTGTGAGAATGCGCTATTCCAGTCATCATTTGTTAATTTTCTACACGACTCTACCATGACTAAATGAAATTAAATGACTTACCGACAAATCCTTCTTCCCCAACCAGTTTCAGGGCAATTTTATCAGCCAACACCGAAGAGTTGCCATGAGCGATGTTGGCAAAGGGGCCGGCATGCACAAATACAGGTGTCCCCTATAGAAACAGAACACATGAATTCTCAGCAGACAAGTCGAAGGCTGGAAACCAAGCTCAACCTGGGGCACACAAGATGGGACAGACTGGAGAGTGTTCCAGAGACTCAGGCGAGTCAATGTGCTTTTACCTACACTGCACATTTACTACACAAAATCTCTCACAGAGAGTTAAAACATTTCGATGCACTTTATTATCCTATGCATCCTATGCTAGTATTTTACGTTTAATGCTGAACCATGGAGACAAAGCTTAAGAATACAACTCATATCTGACTATAATGTTAACAAGCTACTGTGTGTGTGTGTGTGTGTGTGTCTGTGTGCTGCCTCAGTGACCATGAAATCCATGATGCACCTTACGTTATAGTGCTCTACACTGCAATTTTTAACAGAAAGGAATTGGAAGCTGCTGGTCTAAGAGGTTTATTTATTTATTTTTTTCAATTAGGAAATTAATCAGTTCAAGAAAAACCTAGAGTAAGCATAAAAATCAATTCAAATCAATGAACTATGAAAGTCAGGGCAGGTCAAACACACAGTGATTCAGTTGAATACAGGCTGTTTGCATCTTAATTATAACACAGCTATTCTGACACCTGAAAGTGTAGTTTAGGTCTTTCTCCTTGCTTAACTGTCTCATGTATTAGAAATCTGATAACTACTAAGATAATGGAAGCAAAGAAAAAATTTAGTTATAATAAAATGGTACAGTGAGCCTTATTAATAAAAAGGATGACAGGGCAATAGAGGAATCATCAAAAGCTTTACATTTGAATTCTTTAAACAAAATCTGTTTACATACTCATTTTTATTGAAATTTCTATACCTTGTCCTTGGCCTTATGGATGAGCATAGAGCAGAGCCCTATCTAAAATGCTTATCCACATGCATCGATGTGTTTAGGTTTCATTAAGAGTCGAGCCAAGGCCACTGAGGTCTGTGCATACCAAGGCTGGGCTCCACCTGTGAAAATACCGCGTGCCCTTTCGCTGACATGGGGTGGGGCGCAGAGGCAGGGAGCCACGCGGGGGGCCCGGGGGCTGGGAGCCACGGAAAATTCCCACGAACCCTGACAGGCTATTAGTGGAACACATTTCAAAAATGAGAAGGCTCAACAAAAGCAGGAAATGGAAGAAAAGTCCTCTCTGAGGATGAAAAAGACAGAGTTTCTCAAAGCCACTATGTGTTTTCTGTCACCTTTTTCTTCTGTGAGTCCTCTGGAGGAGAGAATAGTACAAGGGCCTGAGAAGTGCACAAATGTGTGTGGACAAAAAGCTAGGAGTATCAAACACAGATACGCAGGCCTGCAGCCTGTCCCCTGGCCACCTGGCTGAGAAACGCAGGGTAAAAACAGCTCATTGTTCCTGGACAACCTCTAGAAGTTGCTACTAGGTCCACAGCAACATTTTAATTAAAAAAGACAAGGACTTGGGCAGGGGTTGGGGCAGTAGTTGAGCCACTGCTTGGGATGCCCACATCCCATGGAAGAGAGCCTGGCTGGAGTCCTGGCTTCCCCACTTCCCATGCAGCTTTCTGCTAATATGCACCCTGGGAAGCACCAGGCGATGGCTCAAGTGCCTGAGCCCTTGCCACCCAGGTGAGAGACCAGGACGGAATTCCTGCCTTGGCTTCAGCCCGACCCAAGCCTGGTGACTGCAGCAATATAGGGAGTGAACCAACAGACGGAAGACTTCTCTCCCTCGCCACCTTTCTTTTTGTAACTCTGCCTTTCAAGTAAGATGAAAATAAATAAATTTTAAAAAAAAGAAAGGTATTTGCAAAATCTTTCTTATTTTTTAGGCTAGATACTAATCTATTAATAAAAGCATTTTTCAATTAAAAATTTGGTTTTAGTCGATAAATAAAACTTGATGGGGTACAATGTGATATTCTGATACATAGTGGAATGAATATATCAAGCTAAATTACATACACACCACCTTATACAGTTAGCATTTTTTTTTTTTTTTTAAAAAAGAACACACAAAACCTACTCTTTAAGCAGTTCGTAAATATCGGGACTACTTAACGGTCTCCTTGCTGTGCATAGATCTTGAAAACTCACCCCTCCTGTCTGGAACATCTCTCCGTTCCCATTCCACCATTCTACGCTCTGTTTTGCAACAGCATTTTGTAGATTTGCATAAATGCAGTTTTAGCTGGCAATCACAAAGCCAGACAATAGAGGGCAAAAAAAGGTCACCTTCTCCTTCACCCAGGAAGCCTAAGGCCCAGAGATGCTAAGGGAATCGTTTAAAACTCCTGATACTGAGTTTGTAAACACAGGGACAGATATACCCTCGGTGATGGAAACAGCTACAAGACAGAATACTCTGAAGTAAATACATTCTCTAAGAAATTGTACAATTAATTCAAATGCATAAGAATAAGAGTCTTGTCCAGGACGTTTTGCCTTGCTGGAAATACTCTTTACCTGCTATGTCCAGTGCAACAGCCACCAGCCACAGGAGGTTGCAGAGCACTTAAAATGTGGCTAGTACATTTTTTTTAAAGAAAGAAAGAAATACATTCAAATGTGGTTAAAATGATTAAAGAAATCAATTTTCTCCTTTCTTCACATCTACTTGGATTGAAGTAACGACATCTGGCCAGTGGCCACCACCTCTGACACTCCACCACGAGGGAGATTCTGTCAACCCCGCATATTGCTATTCCCTGGAAAATGTACAGACCTCTCCATTGCTTTGTTGTTTTAAGTCTTCTCAGCCTGGCTACACACCAGAGTCACCTGGGACAACCAGGTCTCACCCCAGCATTCTGATTCACTGGGGGGGGGGGGGGGAGGAGAGGGGGGCAGGCATCAGTCATTGTTCCAAAATCTTCCCAGGAGCTCCCTGTGTGCAGCCAGGATAGAGAACTACTGGTTTCTTGGCAAATTCTGAGATGTAGCTTTTGATTAAACCTAACTGCTGATGGGACGAACAATGAAGTATTTTTAAAAAATGAGCACTGAGCACAATCTGCAAGCTAATCAGTGATTTTCTAGGTTGTCCACTGGTACGGCTTCCTGGTGTTGTTGGACTGGCTAAATTAATCTGAGTGACTGCGCAGGATCAAGACAGCACAATCCATGCATGCTGAATGCTGTGGTTCATTTTTGAAGCAAGACTCATTATCTGTTAACTTAAATCTCAAAACAACCAAAGACTTAAATGAAAACTAGATACAAAAATAAGTACATTGGTACTGTTGATATGTGGGAAAACATTCTCAGATATTTCACAGATGTCTGAAACTACGGATAGTGCCAAAACCAAGAGAGACTGTTTTATATCTACTCAATATACCCATGCAAAAGACAAAGTTTAATTCAGAAATGAAGCACAGTAAGAAATTAACAACAATAGAACAATTATAATAATAACAGTGTTGTTCTGCAGCGGGTGAAGCCACACTTGCAATCCTGACATCCCAAGTCAGAGCACCGGTTCAAGTTTAACTGCTCCACTTCTGATCCAGCTTCCTGCTAAAGCGCCAGGAAGGCAGTGGAAGATGTTCGAGTTGCTTGTGTCCCTGTTATCCATGTGGGAGACCAGGATGGCTGTTTTGGCCATTTGGGGAGTGAAACAGCAGATGCATGATCTATCTTCATTGCCTTCTCTGTCTCTGCCTCTCTTTCAAATAACGAAGTAAATCTTATGAATTGCTTCTTTCTGGAATTATCTACTTAACATGTTTGGACTATGGTTGACTGGGGGAACAGAAACCATGGAAAGTCAAACCATGGATGGGGTATGGGAACTCCTGTAGCAGGGGATCCAGCCGTGGGCACCCCAGCCAGTCATTCATTTCTCCAGTGGAAACCACATTTGCAGAGTGGGAAATACCCTAGAGGTGCAAGTCATTAAAAAAAAAAAAGATTCACTTATTTACTAGAAAGGCATAGTTACACAGAAAGAACGAGAGACAGAGACAGATCTTCCATCTGGCTGGTTCACTCCCTGAGTGGGCACAACGGCTGAGGCTGGGCCACACGGAAGCCAGGAGCCTGGAAATCCACCCAGGTCTCCAACACGGGTGGCATGGGCCATTTTCCACTGCTTTCCCAGGTGCATGAGCAAGGAGCTGGATCAGAAACGGGAACAGTCAAGACTTAAACTGGTGCTCATATGAGCTGCCGGTGTTACAGGTGGTGGCTCACACACTGTGCCACAATGCCAACCCCAAGTCATTTTTAATATGAAAAATTTGATTGCTTAAAACAACATTCCTTCATAATAAGTATTTAGTTTTGAAGGAGAAGTATTATGAGGAAGTGGTATCATGTCTCTTCCTATGTTTTTTTCTTTTCTATTCAGATATTTACTGAACAAGTGTGCAGTTTCAAGAGCAACGCAATAAAAATAATAAGCATCCATCCAATTGTTCAACAAGTATTTACTTAGCTCATCACAGGTGCTTCTAGGAGATGGAGATATGAAGGGGACCAAGATAGAAAGATCCTGTTGTGAGCCTGGTGGGAGGAGGCGGACCTCTCACAACATCCTGTGCTAAAGAGAGAGGAACAAAGCACAGGTACAGCGTGTCTGAGGCTGTACTGGACCCAGAGGCCCGCTGGGCGTGAGACCTGGGCAGACTTGAAGGAGCCAGGCACCTGGAGATCAGAGAGAGCTGCCCTGGTGTGCAAAGGAGCAAGGGATGAGGATGAGGATGAGGGTAGGGGCGTCACCAGATCCTAGGACTTCCAGACGAGAGCGGGGCTGAGCGTGAGCTGCCAAAGGACACTCAGCAGGAGGAAAAGTGGCTTGCTTAGGTTTTCCAGCTCCCTGGCTGCCGAGTAGAAAAAGGACTTTGGAAGGGAAGGGTGGGAACAGAGGGTGAGTGGGAGGCTGCTGTGGGGGTGCAGGTTGGGGCTGGAGCAGGGAGGAAGCAGAGGAGAGCCATGAGAGAAGTGGACAGAGCAGAGGGGATAACGGAGGAAGACTGTGGGGATGGGGTGGGGAGAGGGGAGGAGACGCCTCCAGGATTCCCAGGTGTTTGGTCTGCAACCGGCCAGGCCTGGGAAAGGAGCACCTGAGGAAGAGGAAGCAGGGAGCAGGTAGGAATCACAGGCATTTCCATACCTAGGCCCACAAGTCTGCAATCCCAGGATCAGGAGCTCAAGAAGCAGTGTGGAGTCGGCACGTGGTGGATCCCAGGGGACAGCATGGCCACAGAGGGGCGGGACCGGCCCTCCAACAATTCACAGGTGAGTTGAGGAGCAGGCAAAGGTGTCCAAGATGCCAAGGAGAGAGCCTGGGCGGGCAATGGGTCCCAGAAGCCAGAGCGGCAAGCGTTCCTCTAGGAGACATGGTTGGCTGTCGTCACCCCTGCTGAGGGTCATGTCAGACAGCGACAGAAATGCTGGCCTGGCCACACAGTGTAGCAGGCGACCCTGCTAACAGCTATCGGGTTAGGTGGACCTGAAGGCCAGTTAAAGTGGAGACGCCAGTTGCAGACTGAGTGTCTTACTGGGAAGGGGGACAGTGGGTTGGAGGAGTAGCTGGGTGGGGAGTAGGGACTCAGAAACAGTCTTCCTTGGCTCACGACAGTCTACACCAGAGTGTGTGTGCAGCAGACAGGACAGAGGCAAGGACTCAGGGTGCAGGGGCAGGTCTCAGCACGCAGAGTGTTTTACTGCGACCAGCAGCTGCAGGACCTGAGGACAAGGTCCTTCCACCTGCCTACTCAGCTCCAGGGACAGCTTCATCCCTCACTCAGCCCCTCTGGCTACATCTAGTGTCGCCACTTGGGTCACACTGGCTTGTAACTCAATCCCTGCTCCCTCTGCCTTCACACTGCCAAGCATATACCCATTCCAGGGCCTCTGTACTCAGGTTACCCTCTGCCCGGCTGGCTCCTTGGTTTGCACACACCTCTGTCTGGATATCGCTTTTTAATAAGCAGGCTTAGAGACATCCAGCCCACATCACTGTCTCCTCATTCACTCCGATGTCCCCTCTGCAGTCCTTGTACCAGTTAACAAGACACGTTTGCTCACTCGTCTGTTGTCTGCCTCCACCACCATGGTGGGGGCTCTGAGTGCAGAGAGCTTAGATTGTTCCCAGCTGTGGCCTTAGCATCTACTGCTGGCCCAGCCAAACACAGAATCTTCACAATAACCTTGTTAGGCTGGTTGCTGGTATGATCATTTTACAGGAGAGAGAATGGAGGCTGAGACAGTAAATAAGTTAGTGCATGGCAGTGTCCACTCAAACTCCGCTTCCTAGCAGTCCAGTGAAAGAACAGATGGTAGCATAGTCTGCTGTCTTTCTGTGTCCTGGGCCCGCTTGCCTCCACCTCCTCTGCCCCTCAGCAGCCTGGGGACACACAGCTCATCTGAACCCTGAAAAAGGTATGTTTCTTCCCAACCCTGTGTTTAATGACATCGGCTCCAAGTTGACCATTGCAGGAGTGTCCCTACCATAGAAACTGGCAAATGCTTTAAACCAGGGATTTTTTTTTTTTCGCTCCAAGGAACTGGCTGTAGAACACTTACCAGTACAACCTTGTCTGCCCCTCCTCATCCCCCCCCGTTTATCTCTTTGCTCAACTTGACCCAGATATTGCCTCGCTGTGTGGGCCCAACCCCTGGGGTCTCATTAGCTGAAAGGAACCAATTAGGCAGTCACTTTATCAACTGAGTACAACTAGTCACTAGAAAATTAGATTAAAATGCAGAGGTCTTTATGAAAAAAATTAAATTCAGTAAAGACAAGAGCAGCACAAGCCATGCACAAAAATAACATTCTTATACGAGTAGAGAACAGCATGCTTTCTTGGAAACTGTCTCTTGGCATTTACTGTATTTTACTTGGGAAAGACATACAAAGCAAACCCCAAAACTTAATGATATGAGATTAAGCTTAATCATAAAAAAAAAAGAAAAACAGAAAAATAAACTTGACTATAAAATTGATTAGAATGTTAGACAGATATTGACTTCTTAAGTTTCTACTATGGTCCAGTAAGCCAAAATACGAATCCTATCAAATACTCCATTATAGATTTTTTCACGTGTGTATGTGCGTGTGTGTATGTGTGTGTCTGGATGACCAAGAATTCTTACGCTGCTCCTGGCCTGGCTCCTCTTGGCTGGAACTGCACACATTCTACAGTGACACACAGGCAATCTGATTGGTGCCAACTCTATAAACAATTACTATAAAAAGAAAATAACTTACTTCTAGGGTCTGCATCAGATTTGGTTTTATTGCATCTTTCATCAAAACCGTTAAAGCACCTGTCACCCCCTAAAAGAGAAAGAAAACATTTAGATTACTGCCAAAGCACACGAGGCAGGGTCGTTCAGGTCTAGACTGTTTCCAGACAGGCTGCTCCCGGGATGGCTGAACCCACAGGCTACCCTCACCTCTGGCCTCTATGGCAACGGATGCAGCCATTCTGGGATGGACAAGGGGGGCTCTTCTCCCAAAACTTTCCTTGTCAATAAGCAGAAAGCTTATGGTAAAGAGATCTTTCAATCTGCCTAGCAGAATCTTCTGGCAACTTAGGCACATCATATTTTTGTTATCTGAAGCTTTAATATTGCCCAAAGAAATGTGAAAAAAAAAAAAAACTGGAATAAGATTATGACAGAGCAAAGAGGGGAGGCAAAGCGTCCACTCTGGCCTCCACTCCTCTCTAAACCCACTTCTTGTGCAAACCTGAGAGGCCCCACGCTCTTAGCCTGAAGATGACGCCCCTGAAGTTTTTGAAATCCATATATATAAGGGACCTTTTTAAAAAAGATCATTGAAATGCATATTATGGAAATAAAAAAACTATGCATGGATTTCAAAATCTTTCACATCAAAAGAAATTGACCTTTTTGAATTTTTTATTTATCATTTACTTGAAAGGCAAAGAGAGAGAGAGAGAGAGAGAGAGAGAGATCTCTCAGCTGCTGATTGACTCCCCAAATGCCAGCAACAGTAGGGGCTGGGGCAGGCTGAGGCCAGGAGCCTGGAACTCAACCTGAGACTCCCATGTCAGGAGCAAGAACCCAACCATCACTTACTGCCTTCCAGAGTGCACAGAACCCTGGAAATGGGAGAGGATCTGGGACTTGAACTTACGCACCTTGATAGGGAATGCAGGCAAGCTGTGCCTAATGACTGCCCAAGCTTAGCTTTTCATTCATTTTCCTACAAACTTTGGAAGTACCCTCATACATAAACTAAGGCTGTCTCCTTCCAGTCCTAGGAAGCACTAGTCTGGGTTCTTTCCAAGTCACCTTTCTCCATTCCTGGAGAAAAGACAGAATGGTAATGATACTTGAGAACTGATTGCTTGTTTTTGTCCTAAATGAGACGACACTATTCACTTTCTTTCTTACTTTTTAGTAATAGTCAGTTAGTAGACGACTATAGATAACTGGGCCAATTCTTGTGAATGTAGCTCTGGGTTAAAAAATTAAAAAAAAAAAAAAGATACCACCCCTCACTGCACACAGCGTCACAAAATACACAGTCCTGTGTCTCCAAACCACCTCACAGACCTGACTGATCGGACAGCAGATTCTAGAGCATCTTCTACGCTACTTCTACCACCAAAATTAATCACTTAAGAGTGATAAGAAAATGCACTCTATTTTCCAACTTTCTGTACAAAACATTCATTGCAAGAAACATAACCTACCCATTGTAAACAGACAAAGATGGTTACTGAAGAAATCTACAGGATGGGAAGAGCTCAAAGAAGTTAGTCCTTTTGTCCTGACAGAGGACAGGTGGAAGAGAGAGGTAGCCTGCCAGCTTTGCTGTGCCCCCTGCTAAGGTTTGGGTATGGTTTATCCCCTCTGAAACTCATGCTGAGATTTAATCCCCATTGTGAGACGTTAGCAGGTGGAACCAGCTGGGACCTTGAAGAGGTGATTAGGCTTGGCCTTCATGAACAGATAAATCCACTCATGTGATTAATGGATTAACGGGTTATCTGGAGAGTGGATAGCATATAAAAATCCTGTCTCTCACCCTAAGATCCCCTGTGCTGCTCTGGGACAATGCCCGTGAGAAGGCCATGACCAGATGTGGTCCCTTGACCTTGGACCAGAACTGTAAGCCAAAAATAAACTTCTGTAACTCACCCAGTTTATGGTATTGCCCTCTTAGCACAGAAAATGGACTAAGGCATTTTTTTTTTCTTATGCTTCCCAGTCAAACAAATCTAAGTGAAGAAAAAAATGCAATTATATTGTCTCAGCCAGGTTGCCATCTGCTACTTTTCTGCAAAACATCTCAGCTCTGGGTGTTCCCGATACATCAACAGTGACCAAACCCAGGCAAGGAGAACTTCACACTGGGAGGTGTGGCCGTCACATCCTGTGTAAGCTATGCCACCCTGCACCCACTGCAACACGTCCATATGCCGTGCCTGTGGTAGGATAAGGTGTATCTGAGCCTCAAGAAAGTTTAGCAGCTCCTAAAACCCTTCCTCTATTTTCTTTCTTTTTTAAAGATTTATTTATTTACTTGAAAATCAAAGTTACAGAGAGGAGAGGCAGAGAGAGAGAGAGAGAGGTCTTCCATCCGATGGCTCACCCCACAACTGGCCGAAAAGCGGGAGCTGCACCGATCTGAAGCCAGGAGCCAGGAGCTTCCTATGGGTCTCCCACGCAGGTGCAGTGGCCAAGGACTTGGACCATCTTCCACTGCTTTCCCAGGTCACAGCAGAGAGCTGGATCAGAAGTGGAGCAGTTGGGTCTAGAACCAGCGCCCATATGGGATGCCAGCATCTCACGCCAGGGTGTTAACCTGCTGGGCCACAGCGCTGCCCCACCGCCCTCCATTTGTAACAAATTACCAACTATTGATAAATCAATTATAAGAAATTGGGCACCTTCTGGGACTGGTGTTGTGGTGTAGCAGGTAAAAGCCTCCACCAGTGACACCAGCATCCCATATGGGCACTGGTTCATTTCCTTGCTGCCCCACTTGTGATCCAGCTCCCTACTAAGGGCCTGGGAAAACCACTGGAAGATGGTCTAAGTGTTTGGGCCCCTGTAACCCACATGGGAGACCTAGAGGAAGCCCCTGATTTCAGCCAGACTCAGCAGTCACCCCATAACGGCCATCTAAAGAGTGAACCAGCAGATGGAACATCTCTCTCTGTTTCTCCCTCTTTCTCTGTAACTCTAACTTTCAAATAAATAAACAAATCTTAAAAAGAGGGGCTGGTGCTGTGGTGCAGCGGGTAAAACCGCCACGTGCACTGTTTCCAGTCCTGGCTGCTCCACTTCTGATCCCACTCCCTGTTAATGAACCTGGGAAAGCAGCAGAAAATGGCCCAAATCCTTGGGCTCCTGCATCCACATGGGAAACCTGGAAGAAGCTCCAGGCTCTTGGCCTCGGATTGGCCCAGCTCCAGCCCTTGCAGTCATTTGGGGAGTGAACCAGTGGATGGACGACCTCTCTCTCTTTCTTCCTCTGCCTCTCTATAACACTGCCTTTCAAATAAATAAATAAATCTTGAAAGAAAGAAAAAGAGAGAGAGGGAGGGGGAGGGAGGGAGAGGAGGGAGGTAAGGAGGGAAGAAAGGAAGAAAGGAAGAAAGGAAGGGAGGAAGGAAGGAAGGAAGGAAGCAAGCAAGCAAGCAAGCTGCGGCCTGCAACGCTGGCATGAGTCCTGGCTGCTTCACTTCCAATCCAACTCCCTGCTAATGCACCTGGCAGAGGGCAATGTTTTCGTAAGGCTTGGCCTGGGCATGTAAGTGAGCCTTGGCCTCTCGTTTATCACCATGCACCAGCAGGATGGATTTCCTCCTGAACTCTGGTGGGTACTGTTCTATGAGCCAGTCCACATCGAAGCAGTAGTTAAACTGAGCTGAAGAAACAAGTGTCCCAAATAGAGGAGATAAAATATCCTTTATGTGGAGGGCTCCGGAGTTGTACTTGGGCTTGATTCCCGAGACTCTAGTGAGGTAAAAGCGGAAGGGGTTCCCTCCATCCAACATGTCCCAAAGGTCCTGGCCTTCCCCTGCTGTCTCATCCTCAAGGAAGGAAGGAAGGAATTATGTACCTTCTGAAATAAGAGACTGAAAAAGACTGAACTCTGGATTTTTTCTGAATCCGACATTATTTTCAGACACAAAAATAAATTTAAGCAACTATTTGAGGGTTAGGGTTGAAGCACTCCTGACACATGTATTGTGAGCTATGATTAAGAGGTTACAGAGAAATATACGTACATAGAAACTGTAGTGTCAGACTAGAAACGGTTGAGATATTGGCAATTTCTAAAGAGCAGCCCTTTGACAACAAGCTGAAGAGGGCTTTTTCTTTAAGCTTTAAACCAAATATTCCGTGGGGCCACTGACATAAACACATCTATTTAATTTGCTTGACAAGACCTATGAGATGAGTCAGTTAGATTTACTTCTTTAAAAGTAGCCAAAAATAATCAAGACACCAAGGCAAAGGACTCCCATTGTGCCTGAAGCCCTGGGAACGAACAGAACACTGCTCTGCCTTTCCCCTTTCACAGCTGTTTTTCAATCATCAGTTTGCATTTTCAGTCTCATTCTTGTCTATGCCTCCATATGTGGGAAAGTAACCTTAAATTTAGAATAATAGGTCTATCAGACCTGTGCGGTCCTAAAGCAAAGGAAAAAACGATGGCACTAGTGGACTATGATTAGTCAAGGTTATTAAAAAGAGTGAAAAATGAGCGTGCCCGATTAGAACAAGCAGTGGTGAGGCTCGCCTCCATGAGAGCTTCACATAAAATGTCTGTCCACTCAAAAGTGAGCGAGAAGAGTGAGACCAATTAAGGTGGAGATCTGTTTCTATGAGGCAAAACCCAAATCTATCTAAGGCACAGAATTAAACAAGCTAGAATACCCAGGGAGCAGGTGCCCAAAGGTGCCAGTGTTAGCTTTTGCTTCCCACTCAAAAAAGCAGAGCCACTTAATTCCACTCCTTAGAAAGGAGCTCTGCCCTCAGTCTAAGGTGGGCATAGATGAGACATTTTTTTAAAGGCAAAGATGGCAGGGCAATGACCCCACGCCACCCCAGGCAGAAGCAGAGATCAGGACTGGCAGGAATGGTGAAAAGCTAAATTCGAGTGCTTGGGTGGCAGCCAGGTACAAGCATGTTACAAATGCTTGTGAGAACATGAACAAGCTGTAAGGCACACAGTTTTAGAAGGGGAAAAAACGTGTGTACAGACATTTTCTGAAGAGGAAGAAAATCCTCGGGTTACAAAACAGCGGGCACAGTGAGCTCCCTGGAGCTTCCACGCTGGACACCACTCACCAAGTCTTCCGCCGTCACAGGCTGCCCATCTTTGTCGCTGGCCACCACCATTCTCCCCAGCCGCTCCTTCATGTCCGCGAGGCTGTCGGTCAGGGCCAGCACCGCCATGATCTCACTGGCCACAGCAATGTCAAACTGCGCCTGAACCGGAAAAGCAAGGGCAGTGGTCAGCTATGGCGCCAGGGGCACGGCCATTTCCACGGGAGCTGGAGTTCCGCAGTGAAGTGACAGCAGGCCGGGGGGCTTCCTCGGTGGGCCTTCCTCGTGCTCACAATTCTGAGAATCTAAAAGAGCCCACAGGGTCTGGAGCATGGTACTCTCCAGGGAAGCCTCGCAGGGGCGGCCATGATCTCTACTGTGCTCTGCTGAGCAGCAGTGGACTGGGTGAGGTCCCCTGTTGCTCCTGCTCACGGCACCACGTGTTGCTGTTGTAGCCTGTCTCAGACTGTGATCAATTCTCAATGCCAGTATCCAACTGGGTCTTGTCTCCATACCTGGAGAGACAGGAAGTGCCATGAAGGCAAGGACCACGCTGGGAGGGTCATCTTCAGAATCCCCAGGAGGGAAGACTGAGCAGGACCCCAGGAGGCACTCAGTACATACAGACCTAGTTAATGGACAATTAGCCATGGGTCTGTCCAGCAATGAGATAAGGAGCAGATGGCGACAGGAGAGGGTTCTGCTAGCTTCCTGTGTGTGAGGCCAGTTTCCCACAGCGAGATCTCAATACAGAAGAGAGGACTCGCTCTGTCATATGCGACCAGAATGAGGTGTCAGCTGCTGTGTGCATGTGGGCCACGTGACAGCCGATCTCAGTGCTCCCTGCAAAGAACGTTAGAGAGCAACGGCTTTCTCCATGAGTTCCCCTCTTGGCTCTGGCTCAGGTCGTGCAAAGACCAACAGGAAGCAGAAAGAATATGAACAACGCTTATTTCCTCTCCCCATATTTCAGCCACCAGGAAGGTTCTTCTGCTTAAAACCACTACATTATGCTCCAGTTTAATTTTCTCCTTCCCAAGGGGGGTGTGAGCCAGGGAGGCTTGCGTTTGCAGAGAGGGGAAAAGGCTGTGCCCTGGCAGGATCCCCTTCTGAGACATTTCAGTGTCCATTTCCATCCCTGACAAATGAGGAAATGAAGGCAGATGGAGCTTTCTGGTTCCTGCCTGGCTGAGAGAAAAAATATTCCCCCAAAGCCAAATGCAATCATATTCATTATACACTCTCAACCGAAGCCACTCCAAACTAAGTCATTTTTCATTGTAAGAGATTTAGGACTCTCGGCTCCATTGCATGCAGTGCATGGAAGAAAGTGACTAAAACACTGGGGTTTTTTTTGTATATAACATGAGACTATAAATATTCTTGTAATACTACGGAAGAAGTAGAATTTATACCATGTACATAAGCTGTTCATTCCAGAGGCAAGTAATATCAACGGTTGCTGGATTTCTTTCCTGTTTTCATTTTAGGTGCTTATATTTGCATGGGAACACGTGTACTTTGCCAAATTTATATCCTATCATTGTAGTTAAAAATTCCATTTCGTTACATCCTCATGAACACTTAATGCTATGTATGTCTTTATAAGCTCAAAGGTAAATGCTACTCCGTCGTTTTCATTAGCAATTTTATGATTTTGATTTTCAAAAAAATTACTAGAGACACACACACATACACAAGAAGACACACACACACAAACGGGGAGAGAGAGTGCCCATCTGATGTTTCACTGCACAAATGCTGAAGCCAGGAGCCAGGAACTCAATTTTGGTGTCCCACGTGGGTGGCACGAATCCAGTTACGTAAGCCACCATCTGCTGCCTTCTAGGGTCTGCAACAGCAGGAAGCTGGAGTTGGGAGTCAGAGCTGGGATTCAAACCCAGGCTCTCTGATATGGGATGTGGGCACTTGCTACACGTGAATACCTTTTCATGTTTGTATTTTACTTCTTTCTGTAAAACGTAAACTTTCCCTTTTTTGGACTTACTTATTCAACAAATTTCTACAAATACCTGCCACTATGTGATAGAGTTCTGTTCTAAGCTGAGACTGAGAATCAGCTATGCGCTAAGGCCAGCAGAAAAAGGAAGGAGGGAGGGAGGGAGTTTGGGGGCAGTTTTGGGAAAGGCTGTTCCAGTTCTAAATACGCAGCCAGGAATGGCCTCACTGAGAGAACAATAGTTTAACATTAATTTCCAGAAGTTCTTGCTAGGTTTGGCATACTAATCCTTTTGTTACATGTGTTGCAAATACTCCCAGTCTGTTCCTGATCTTCTCATGTTTTTGTGTATGTGTGAAGACTTTGATTTTTTATTGTAAGAAAACCATCTTTTCTTTCTAGTTGCTGCATTTTCTGTGACGGTTTCTATCGGTGGCAACCGTGCCTGTGTTTGGCTTCCTCTAGTAAGATTTCTCTAGCCAATGTGATTTACTGTTGCTGCTGCTGTCTCCCTCTCTCTCTGGAGGACTCTGGGATGAAACATCATTTTCCTTGAGAACTCTGAATGTATCACGCGGGGTCACCTGGCGCTAGATGCTGTCGATAAGACCTCTTCCTTTTGCGGCTAAGCAGGGCCCTTTTTCCCTGGCCTTGGCCAGGAATTTCTTTTTTTATCCTTTCAGTTCTGAAATTTCGACACGATGTGTCTGGGTCTATCTTTTCCATTCCTCCCACTCTGTACTTCTTAGATTCTTTTAATAGGAAAATTTGTGCTTTTTTCAAGTCAGGAAATCCCCCATTTTATTATTTCTTTAAAGACAGTTTTTTCTCCATTCTCTGTCATTTTCTTTGGCCACATTTATCAGATGTCCACTAGAACTCTGCAACAGGTGTTCTCCGTCTCTCGAATGTCTCTCTGAGGCTTTCTATTGCTTTCCGCCTGTGTACTAAGAGTGTCTCTTGGTTTAGGTGCCCCTCCCCGGCACCCAGGAACCTACTCTGGCATTGGGTCCGAGAACGGGATTTTGATGAGCATGGCTCTGTTTACTAAAGCTTCACAAACAATCTGAGAAAACAGCTGAGCACAGGGACCGACTCCGTCCACCTGATGCACCATTACTTTCCGTACACACATCAACTTCTCGGCTGGCCTGGGTGGCAGGCGTGCCCAGGCAGGTGTTTTTAAATGATGGGCAACTCCTTGCTGTTGTCTGTGGACACAACAGCTCTGGCCTGTCTCTACAGACTCAGCAAGGCAGGATACGCTGTTGCTGGCTCCCTACCCTGGCGCCCCTCCTAGCCCTAAGCGAGTCCCCAATGCATATGGCCAAAGGTGATCCCTTCCCCATATAAGTGTCACAATATACTAGTTTTCTTCTCACTGACATCTTCCAGACCAGAGGCACGGCGCACATGCAGATCAGTGACGACTGGGGGTGGCATGCCCAGCAGTGTCCCTGGCAGCCGCGGGACGACACTCGGGCCTCAGGTTGATACGTGCATATCCAGGCCGTGTGGCTCAGCGCCAGTATCACAGCAAGGACCCCTTAAGCAGCATCTTCAGAGGGGTCTGCAACCAGTGAGGCCCAGCAGGGTGCCGACCTCACCTGTATCTAGGAAGTAGCGTTTCTAGTGCCTACAATTGAGAGGATCACCCTAGAACAACACTCATGCCATATTTTGGGCTGGCCTTCCCGCCAACCCAATCCACCTTCTTACGTTTCAGATCTTCCGCAAACTCCACGGCAGTGATCCTGGCTTTCTAGGGTTGATACTGATTATCTGATTATGTGCAAGTCCCACGTACTGGTTATATGCAAGTCCCAGGACTGAGAGGAACAATGGACACGGGCCGCATCTGCCTTCTTGATTCACTCCTCACATTCCTCACATGCACGCCTTAAATCATCGTATTGCACAAGGCCAAAGTCTATTTGGTATGAAGACTGGTTATTATGTAAAATGAGGTTTTTTTCCCGCTAATAAAGACTTAGAGGCAATATTTCTAAATTTGTCTGAAAATATAAAGATCATTAACAAAAACCAAACCAAAACAAAATCCCAGAGGCTTGGTGAGCCAGGCTGAAAAAATAACAGAGCACATTTACAGTCCCTAAGTGCCCCTGACCCACATCAGAGATCTATCAAAATGAAGTAGACTCATAATTCTTCTCCCACATTCTCTGTATCGGGATAATAAGCCATTATCCTTTATAACACAGCTTATGCTATTATTAAGTCTAATAATTAGGTGTTTGCTCTTTGGCTTATGAAATTAATGTGGTTGAGATTTTTATTTTCAGTTGTTATGCAGATGTTGTATAACTGTGGTTTTCCAATAACCGTGTAAGGGTTTATATTCAAAGGACACTCCGAGTGGTGTTACCCAGAAACACATTTGAAAAGCCTCCCAGCTCCTGACCCCCATGCCCTGCGGAGGGCTGGAAACCCACCCTGAATGGGCGGCAGAGCCACTGCACGGCAGCAGGGAGCGAGGAGCACAGAGCCCCTCGTGCTCTGGTGGAAACCAAGGCAAGGAAGAACAGAGCCACGCCTGGGAAGCAGCGCCACCTACCTGCCGGGAATATCCCTTCTCCGTGCTTGCCTGCCCAATGGTTATTTTCCGCAGAAATCGGTCATTGGTGTCCAATACTGAAAGAGGAGAGATTAGTTACTCACTTGACAAGTATGGGCTGTCTCTCTGGTGTGTTTGGCATTGTTCTGATGCCAGGAAACTGGCAGACAGCAAAGGAGACAAGGGGCAGCATCCCCTGAGGAATCAGACAAGATACCCACTGATGCTAAGGGCCGAGGCTGACTGGACAGAGTGTGCCAGGCAACGGGAGGGGAGGCGGTGAGGACGTCCTTTTTAGTAATGAGATGGCAAAGGGAAGCATTTCTGAAGCATTGATATTTTACACTGAAACCTAAGTCACAAGAAGAACCCAATCTAACTTCTCAAAAGATTAAGCACACTTGTACGACAGCCATATGACCAGGAATTATATTGTTATGCATTACTCAAAAAAGAATTAAGGGGCCAGCGCTGTGGTAAAGTAGGTAAAGCTGCCATCTACAATGCCGACATCCCATGGAGTCCAGCTGCTCTACCTCTGATGCAGGCTCTCTGCTATGGCCTGGGAAAGTAGTAGGAGACAGTCCAAGCCCTTAGGCCCCTTGGGAGCCTCCCTGTGGGAGACCTGGAAGAAGCTCCTGGCTCCTGGCTTTGGATCAGCCCAGCTCCGGCCATTGTGGTCATTTGAGGAGTGAACCAGCAGATGGAAGACCTCTCTCTGCTTCTGCCTCTCTGTAATTCTGCCTTTCTAATAAGTAAATACACCTAAAAAAAAAAAAATTGAAAAAAATTGAATAGATACTTGTATGCTCATGGGCAGCAATATTTACAACAGCCAAAAGGTATAAGCAGTGAAAGTGTACATCAATGGTAAATGGGTAAATAAAATGTATATATATGTAAACACAAAGGAGTATCACACAGCTGTATAAAGGAAGGGAATTTCGATAGACAATACAATATTGGATGGATGCTGAAAACCGGCATAGTTAAATAAGCCAGAATCTTAGGGCGAATATGGCTTGATTCCACTCATGTGAGGTACTTAGAATAGTGGAACCCACAGAGATAGAAAATACAACAGTGAAAAGCTGGGGTGGAGGGGGAGTTATTATTGGATGGGTACAGAATTCTTTGCTGATGAAAAAGTTTTGGGTACAGACAACAACGACATTATAATCGCTGTGAATGTATTTAATGCCACACATCAAACATTTGCAAATGGTTAAAATAACTATTACATTACATATATTTTACCACAACTCAAAAAAACAAGTAAATCGAGTATTAGGAGGGGGAGCAGTCATGATTAAAACAAGCACCGATTCTCTGATTTTCTGCAGTGGCTTGTTTGAGCTAGGACTTGTTTGTGGAGACTCGATTTGGTTTTGTGAAAAACCAAGTTTACAATGCCAGGAATCAAGGCCAAAAGGACAGAGACCTCACCAATAATTTACGAAGCATCAAATAACAAACTACTCGCACTGACAACTAAGATCCGATTTACCCAGTGTCTAGCACAGCACTGACGGAGACGGAGATGGAAGTGATGGGTTCAGGTGCCGTAAGCATCCGTAGGGGGCGAATGCTGCCCCCTCCTGTGCACACAGCACTGGCAGCTCTGCGCCCCGCCCACCTCGGCTGCTCCCTCCGTCAGCTGCTGCTGCTGGGTGCTTCCCTACGGTACGCTCCCTCTCTCACGTACACATACACACTCAGATGCATGCAAACAGAGTGAGGCAGAACATACGCAAAACCGTAGGGCTGTTTCTCGATATGATCACTAGCTACTACTCCTACTCCTACGCCCAAGGTGCCTGCTGCACGTCACAGAAAGCAAAAACATCGCCTTTTCTGATGTGTAGTACCTTGGCACCAGATTGAAGCGATCTTTTTATCAAACCTATTCAAGTCAACCACCGAACGTCAGCTGTTCTTTATTCAGCAAAGAGAAAATAAGCAAGGAAAAAAAAAGACGTCTGTTGGCAAAACCAACAATCACCAGTGGGATCCAATGTGCACGTGTGCATTTCACAGGCAGGGAGCCTTGCACCCACCAGAATTCTGATCTCTGGGAAAGAGGTGTGGGAAAGTGCCAGTGATAAGTAAGTTAGAGATGTGATGGCAACTTCCAAGGCACAGGAAGACAGACACCAGGCAGGCCATTCCCCGTCTCTACATGATACAGCAACGGAGGAATAAGCAATGTGTTTATTCATTTCTGAAATATGGATTGAGAACTGATTTGGTACCCAGTACGGTGCTAGCTTTTCAGGATTCCCAAGGGCAGGAAAGTGGTCTCTAACCCAGGCCTTTCTTGGCATGGGGGAGATGTGTGGAGGGCCAGGGAGTAGGTGTGCAAAGAATGGGGTCTGGGCGGCAAGCCAGTCCATTGAGGACGGCTGTGTGTGCTGTCCTGAGCCTAACAGCCTGTGAAACAGCCAGCATGCTAAGCACCTGGAGGGTGCACGGTGCTGTCCTCAGCGCGCTGTTTTGGCTTGGTGCAAGACATGATACCGAATCTACAATACTATCCAGGCAGTTTGGGCACCAGTGACTTGATGTTAATTCACTGAGGGGGACTGGGGCTGGCTGCCCTCTCTCTGTAACCTGGAGAAAAAAGATAAAAGGGAGATGGGAAGAAAGCCAGGCTGCACGCCCCTGGAGGGCTCGGATGCTCTGAGACGCAGGAGCTCCGGCTACCCTGCTCGTGTTTGTCTGGGAATGACTACATGGCTCAGCCTACGTTAAGGGTTCCTGGAGTAGCCTATTGAATCTGGTTCCACCTTGTTACCTTGAAGCTTCTGATATGAGGCACTGGATGAGCCAATCATTGCATTTCACACACAACCTGATAGGAAGGGGTGACTCTTAGATGGTCCGACACTCACACGGCCTGTCTCACTGTTTTCATCCTACCAAAGTACTTGCATGGCACCCTCTCGCTATCAAATAGGGATCTAATCTCATTACGTGGGTTATGCTGGTTCTAGATCAAAGCCCAAGCCCCTCAACTCCATGTCCTCAACTCCTCTGATGCACACTCCTATTGCTGACAGTAATTTGCGGGAGTAAGAGCCAAACTACTTATCAAATGTCATTCCAAGTTCCTCTGACCTAGGTGGCTTGTCCACAGCAATAAAGTTTTCTTCCCTTTCATGTCCTGCACAGTAATATAATTCTAATACTTTTCTGGAATTGTTTTTGAAGTTGTCACTTTCATTAAAATTGGTTTGCAACTAAAGATTGCTTCAGTTCTGTTTGCCTCCTCAGAGAGAACTCAATCGTGCGCTGGCTCTAGGTGGAAGAGAGGACGTGTCCTTCCTGTTCCGAGACTCACGACGGGGCCACTGCCCTCTTTCTGATGGACGCCTGGACTGGAGCCCCAAGCCGGAGTGGAAGGAGACCAGTTGGTAGAGAATGCATGAGTTTAAAATACATGTGTTTCCAAATGCATGGTTTTTCTTTCATAAGTAAACTCCCTCAAAGTGTAACACAGACTCATAAATGCCTTGCAAAAATTAACTCTATGTTTGGACATAAGGACAGTTTAGTAAGTCATCTGCCTAGTTATAAGAAGTTTTTAGGAAAAATTGTAGGCTTTTCAATAAAATGCTGAAAATATTCATGTCAGTTATTAAACAGTGTATCAGTCTTTTCAACAACAGAGGCATATTTAAGTATTTTGCAGTTCATCCCACAAAGGAATGGTCCCGAGCCACTTAAAATGACCGTGACAACAAAGAGCTAACAAAAAACAAAAAAGGCTTATGATATAAGTGAAGTTAGTAGGATATAAAGTCTATATACCTACATTATTTTTAGAGATATCTACAAGACCTAGATGCATAAAAAATGCATAAAGAGTAGTGGTTATAGCTGTATAAATATGAGATCATATTTCTTATACTTCAGAGACATTTTAAAAATCTCTATAATATCACTACTTTTAAGTGAAAAATATATCTTTGAAGTTTCCAAGGAGATTTCAACCTAGTTTGGGAGACAAAGAAGCACAGAGAACTGTGTAGTGCAGCTACAGGGACATCTCGAGACCATGGGGCAGCGCCTTAGAGTCTGGAAGGGATTCTCGGGTTTTAGGGCAGCACCCCAGAGGGGAGCTGGCAGGGCGTTTCACTTGGACGATGTGATGTGGAACTGGCCCAGCACCACTCTGGTCTTGGTCTTGCCACCTGATGGGCTGGGAAAACATGAAAGGCCTAATTGAACAGATTCCTGAGTCGGGGGTGAGGAGAATGTATGGGAAGGGGAGTGACCTGGACTGGGTCTGGGAGAGCCAGACTGGCCTAGCAAACAGGAGCAAAGGGACAGGAAGTCACTGCCACGGTCCTGAAGGTCAAGCCATGCCCCAGACACGTTTTCACCCAGGAAGCAGGGTGCCCTGCAGGCTGCCGAGCAGGGAAGTGACAGGCAGGCCGCTGTAAACACAGGGGATGGAGATGGACGCCGGCGAATGAATTACAAGGTGTCTGCTGTCAATCAGACATCTGACAAATACGGGCCAACAGTGAGGAAAGGGTGACCAGAGAGAGAAGAGTCATGCCATCGGACTCCTAGGAAGCCCTCAGGATAAGGTGTGGACGTCATGCATACAGTGGACGTCATGCATATATGCAACCATCTCCTATCTCCACACACCGAGGCCCAGAACCCTCACAGCACTTGCTCAGGGCTGCAGAGCCAGTACGAAGCTCCTACCAGACTCAAAAAGCTCAGCGCTGGAAACAAAGCAGAGAGAGCCAGCACTAAGGAGGGCAGAGAAGGCAGCAGGACAAAGAAGTGGGAAGGCAGGTTTTAAATATTTCGTAATGCAAAGACAAGGGGCCAAGGAAGAGACAGAAGAGGATATTAAGTCATTTATCTTGGAAATTTGGAGAGGGATGGGAGTAAGCCAGATAATGCAGCTGATCTATACAGGAGGCAAGGAGGGAAGAGGATGGTAAAATAACAGCCATCGAAACAAACAGTGGGATTTATGAAGTCCAGGTAAGGAAGACAAAGGGAAGGAAGAACAGCTGTGCACTCATGAGCTGTGCCTCGAACAGACGTCCCGACTCCGGCCCCAGCTCCATGGTCTCCCAGCTCCTACCTCTCTGCCAGGTGATGGTGGAGGGGTCGATGTTGAGGCGGGCAAATTTCCCCATTTCCTCCTCCGTCAGTGCACTCGGATCAGTCTTATTGATTCCCAGTTTCTGATGATTAAGAGGGAACAGAAAGGAAAAGTCACCAAAATTATCCCTTTGACTTGATTTTCTCCATGACTAGTAAAAGCCTTTAGAGAATGAAGCTGAACTCTAAATTGTAGTGTAGGGAAAAACACATCAACACACGCCCAAGTCCAAGTATCTCCTGCGAGGGGAAGATGCGGAAAATGTGTACAATGCCCTTCAAGTGGCAGGTGTGGAACTGTGTGCAGCTGCATTCAGTGAGCACTGACTGATGTTTGTGCCACAGGCTGAGGCGCTCCACGTGGCCTCTGTGTACCACACTCAGAGGGGACGTAACTGCTGCCCACGCAACAGATGCCCTGGGTCATTAGTTCTTCTTTCCAAATATACACACCAGTGATTCATGGAAGGCTTATGCCTATGTTTCCAAACAAGTTATTTCTAATTTTGAGGTTAAAAAAAAAAGTTACAACTCTAAACATATCTATTTCCATGAAGAAAAATCCTAAGAAAGTGTTTTTTTAAAATATTTTTTATTTTTTAAATTTTATGTATTTAAAAGGCAGAGAGACACACAGAGACACAGAGACCTCCACCCACTGGTTCACTCCCCAGATGCCCACACAGTTGGGGCTGTGCCAGGTCGAGGCTGGGAGCTGAGAACTCAATGCAGGACTCCCACGAAGACGGCCGCAACTCAAGTATTTGAGCCTTATCTGCCACCTCCCAGAATGAGCACTAGCAGGAAGCTAGACTGGAAGCCAGGACCAAGAGCTCTGACATGGGATGCAGGTGTCCCAAGCAATGACTTCATCGCTGCAGCAAATTTCCAAACAGAAAGAAGACATGCCAACAAAGAATTTGGGGGCCAGCACTGTGGCACAGCGGGTAAAGCCGCTGCATGCAGTGCCGACATCCTACATGGGTGCCGGTTTGAATCCTGACTGCTCTACTTCTTTTTTTTTTTTTTTTTTTTTGTTGTTGACAGGCAGAGTGGACAGTGAGAGAGAGACAGAGACAGGTCTTCCTTTTTTCTGTCGGTTCACCCCCCAGTGGCCGCTGCAGCCGGCGCACCGCGCTGATCCAAAGGCAGGAGCCAGGTGCTTCTCCTGGTCTCCCATGAGGGTGCAGAGCCCAAGCACTTGGGCCCTCCTCCACTGCACTCCCGGGCCACAGCAGAGAGCTGGCCTGGAAGAGGAGCAACTGGGACAGAATCTGGTGCCCCGACCGGGACTAGAACAGGGATGCCGGTGCCGCAGGCGGAGGATTAGCCAAGTGAGCCGCAGCACCGGCACTGCTCCACTTCTGATCCAGCTCTCTGCTATGGCCTGGGAAAGCAGTGGCAGACGGCCCAAGACCTTGGGCCCCTGCAACCACGTGGGAGATCTGGAAGAAGCCCTTGGCTCCTGGTTTCGGATTGGTGCAGCTCTGGCTGTTGGGGCCAATTGGAGAGTGGAAGACCTCTTTCTCTCTTTGCCTCTCCTTGCCTCTCTATATAACTCTAACTTTCAAATAAATAAATATATCTTTAAAAAATGAAAAAGAAAGAATTTGGGAAGTAGAAATCGTAACAACTGCTGAGTGTAACTGACTGCTTGTTCTCAACAAAGTGAATAAACAGAAAGGGGTGAATTTGTAAAACCATTTAATGCTGATCAACATTAGTAAATGAAGTAGGAAAAAGCAATGGGATAAATAGGACCCAACAGGAAACAACATTAAAACAAAGATAACATAGATAAAAATGAAGATGTTTGGGGCTGGCATTGTGGCACAGTGGGTCAGGCCACCTGAGACAATGGCATACCATGAGTGCAGTTTTGACTCCTGGCTTCTCCACTTACAATCCAGCTCCCTGCTAATGTGCCTGGGAAAGCCGCAAAAAGATGGTCCAGGCAGTTGGGCTCCTGCCACCCACCCTGGAGACCCAGATGGAATTCCAGGCTCCGCACTTAAACCTGGTTTAGCCCTGGCAGCTGCAGCCATTTGGAGAATGAACCAGTGGATGGAAGCTCGCTCGCTCTCTCTCTCTTTAACTCTATCAAATAAATAAGTACATCTTTAAAATAAAATGAAGATGACTTTCGCAAATACAAGGGTAATGTCTTTCTACAACAAAAACTGAGATACAGGAATCTTCAAAGGCCATTTTACCATTTCCTGGGGTTTAACAAATTTCATGAAAATACCTTTCTTACAAAGAGAAAACGTATGAAAACTGTCAACTGTTAGTTGGTGAGCAATCTTCTGGATGAGCAAAGCAGTCCTCATGGATGAGGGACCTCAGTCTTAGTGTTCACTGATTTGGTATAGGACCGAGATTTCAGCATCTACGCTGCCATCTTACTCTGTCTCTCTGGATATAAACAACCAAAAGAGAATCTGAAAATCAAAATCAAAGCCAGTTCAAATTTTCTGGCTTTGATAATCCTTCTAATCTATCTCTAGGATATTTGCAAAGAACCTGTGACTATGAACTTACCTTCAGCCGAGCAAGTTGAATTTCTGAAAATTCCCGCACACCATTCACTGAAGGAACCAGCCGATTATACAGAGCCTTAAAAAAGCAAAACACAAAAAAATCACCTAAAGTTTAATATCCAACCATGAACTTGGATAATTTACACAATATGACAAGGTCCATTTCATTTATAATCCAACTATTGAAATTAAAGACCACATTAAGATTTTTGGGCTAATATAAACAATTTGACTTAAATTCTGTCATTTTAATAAGACTCACGAGATCTGAAATAATGCACATTGCAAAGAGTTCGCACAAATCTATTTTGTGACCTTACAGCCCTATAACAACCAAACTAATATTTATCTGGATTTTGCTTCAAAGCCTAAGGAATTACTGTCACGGCAGAAAGTCAGTGACCTTGCTGTAATTCAGGCCCCAAATTCCCATTTCATCCACATTCAATGTCTGCAAAGAATCAGTACCTGGTACTCTTCTCCTTTGGGGTGTGTGACTGACCTCTCCCATGCTTGTGAAGCCAAACAAGCTCTCTAACCTCTTAATAACACATCTCATCTAGGACAGCCGCAGGTAACATCTATCCAGTCGCCCTCAGTGTAGACCAGAGTCTGTATTTTTGGCCAGAATGAAGAGAAGTGATCTACCAAGTACCTTTAAACTAATGACTCATCTCAAAGAATGTCTGGCTTGGTAGAGCTTGGTCACGAGCCCATCTGAGAAATGGAGCAAAGTGTGGCAGCCTCTCCTTGGGAAGCAGAGACATCCACAAAACTCCCAAAATTCAGAATAAAATTTTGGAGAGTTTCCAGGAACTCCTCAAGGACCAGGAATTGTTGAAGAAGATGCCCAGGAAGGCTAACGAGGGATCCTCTCACCTTATCTGTTTGAGTATTTTCATGCAAAATCCTCGTGTCGATGGCAGCGGCCAGCAAGTTATTGGCAGCAGTAATGGCATGGATGTCCCCCGTCAAGTGGAGGTTGAACTATAAATGAAATAAAACACTCATTTGTTTCAGACCAGACAGCAGCATGCAAGGACTGTCTGAATGAATAAAATAATATGCTAAGTATGTGTCCTTATGAGCTGAGTCCCTAAGGCAATGTGAACCAGGACGTCGATGGGAAGGTCTGCACCTGGCCAACACAGACCTCGTGAGCACCTGCTCTCACGGCACAGTTTTCCACCAGCAGGTTAGGGGTGAAACACGCTGGTGGACTCAATAACTAACTTCCTTATTCTGATTCACTGGACCTTATGCACTGTTTTGTTATTTAGAAAATAATGCATCTTTTGGAATGCGACAGGCTGTAAAACAGACAATAATGAGAATAATATAGTACAGGAAGCTACAGAAATAAAGCATCTTGTCCTCACAACTCTACTGTCTCCTTCTAGTCTCGTGTCTATATGATCATTGCTTGTAGAATCTGTATAATTATAATTGGGAAGCTTCTTTATTAAAAAACTCACTATTGTGGTGTAAGCACTGACTTAGTATTAGTAGTTACAATACTATTGGAATGCTCTCCCATGTCAGAATGCCTGGTTCAAGTCTCGCTTCCTATTCCAGCTTCGGAAGCAGCAGGTAATGACTCAAATGCCTGCCACTCCTGTGGGAGACCCAGTCTAGGTTCTGCGTTCCTGGATTTGGGCAACTGGGGAGTGAACAGGCAGATGGAAAAGATCTCTCTCTCTCTGCCTTCCAAATAAATAAAAATAAACAAAAACATCAATAAAATATAACTTTTAATAAAAACCTCAATATTTTACAATAACCTTGTTTGTGTACACTTACACTTTATGGAGGATTTTATAATCCAGTAGGTGCATCAAAATGTTTAGCCTCTTATGTCTAGATATTTAAGTCACTCTTCAATTTCCACTTTTGCAGAAAATGGTAAGATTATAAAGAATACATGCAAATAGCATTTCTCTTGTGAAGGAATTAATTACTAGAAAGCAATATATCTTCAGGAATGCGGTTACTGGGTTAACTGAAATTGACAATAGGACCAAACTGCTCCTTGAAGTGGATGAAGTGTCAACTGCACAGCACTAGTAAATCAACCACTTCAGAAACAAAGTAGCCTTCAGACTAAAACCATAATGGTTGAAAGTTCTATTTTATGTTGAATTTCTGTTTCCTTGAAACGTTATGCATTTCTACCACGGGAGTCTGTAAGGAGCTTGATGTGGCAGCCAGAGGCATGGAGGCGAGTAGACAAGGCACTGACTTGTCCTACAGACGAGGAAGCAGGAGCCCGTGGGGACCTCCCACACGGTGCAGGAGGCTGGCAGCAGGTGGGACGGTCACCTGCTCAGACTTGGGTTTAGGAAGATGGCTCAGGACCAGAACTAGGCAGCTGAGAGGAGAGCTGACGAGAAGTGGTCACTAGACACGGGGCGCAAAGGAGAGGAGAGGCAGGAAGGAAAACAAGAACATTGTCTGTTCTTTTGGCCCATTTTTCTCTGGAATTATCTTATTTTGGAGTCTTGATTGAAAGAAAGCAAGCATCTATGTCTTCTCTAATGGATGGAGATGAAATTCCATATCCTCTTACCCAGAATCCTCCACATCAGATAGGTTTTGGGATTCAAAATATTTTGGAATTTAGAAAAGTAGTGATGTACACATAATGTGCTTATAAAACAGCTGAGGCAGGGGCTGGTTCGGCAGCCACTATATTTCTACAGCATCAACAAAACCCATGCCTGGTTCGTAAGAGTCAAGGTCAGATTCTGCCACTGAATGAGTTACGCAAACACTTTCGGGGCCTTGGGATTGTGAACGAAGGGTCATGGACCTTGACTGTGGGTGTCAGGAGACGCGATGTGCATCTCCCGTGGCCTTACCTCCTCCATGGGGATGACCTGGGCGTATCCACCACCAGCAGCTCCTCCTGAACAACAGAGTAAGTGGCATTTGAATTAGTCAGCAAGTGCAGCTATGCCGACAGACAGAGGTGACACACATGGCTCCCCACCCAGGAGGGAGGCGCTGACAACCAAGATGAAAGCTCTGACGACGCTGAAGGACAAAGAGCCCACATGGTGTCCAACTCCAATTTAAAGACTTTTTTTCTCTGACAACACGGTGTAGCCAACACTGTGGTGCAGTGGGTGGAGCCACTGCCTGCAACGCCAGCATCTCATATGGGTGCCGGTTAAGTCCTAGCTGCTCCACTTCTGATCCAGCCGCCTCCTAATGCACCTGGGAGAGCAGTGGAAGGAAGATGGCCCAAGTAGCTGGGCCCCTGTCACCCATGTGGGCTTGGGCTTTGGCTTGCTCCAGTCCTGGCAACTGTGGCCATTTGAGGAGTGAACCAGTAGATGAAAGCTCTCTCGTGCCCACTCTCACTTGTTTAATCGCTCTTTCTGCCTGGTTTCTCTGTAACTTTGCCTTTTAAATAAATAAACCAAAGGTAAAAGTAATATAACAAATGTCATTACCGTAAGACATCAGGATATGACATTATTTATTATTAGCTTTATGTGGCTATGCTTTATTAAAGTCAAATATACATGGAGCTATAAAAAATCTTTGTTTAAAAAAACCCACCTGTAAACATCTCAGATTACAAATGATAAACTTAACTCAATTTATTTTAGATAGTGCTAGGTAAGATCTGTCATACTGCTTACCAAAATTATTAAAGTTCTATTACAAACACTTGTCATTTCTAAAATAATAACATCCATGTGCGCGTCATGTAACAATTTACCTCTCCTCTGTATACTGTCTCACTTCAGTCTCACACCAACCTGGAGCGCCTGGTACTTAGGAGCCTTTTTAACACTTTCACGGAAGTGACTCAAGGCGATTATGACTAGCTAAAGGTCACACAGCAGCAGGAGGCAGAGCCATGAACAAAACCTCAGCTTCCTTCTCCAGCTCCAGCATTAATTCTGCTGCACAACGGATGACTCTATGGTTTGCCACTACTTAATGAGCCAGGAGCTATTAAAATCTGTTACAGAAACGGAAGGATGATACTGTAAAGGCTGCAGGTGCCAAGAGCCCATAGCGAGTGCAGCAATAAACGCTACCGAAAAGTGAGCTAAGGAATGACTTCCTGACAAATCAGTCACGAACGGGAAGGTGCTGGACATCAGCCCAGCCGCTGCCCAGGAGGACTTGTGCCACCACACGCTGTGCACAGCCAGTGCAGCCCTGACAGTACCATGGCCCCCACGCAGCAGTCCCATGAGCTGAGACGCAGGGGCGCAGAGGGAGACTCTCGCTGGCTGCTGATAAAACACCAGTGTGGACAGCAAGGAGGGCGCCGAGGAGACAGCCGGCTGGGCTGCTGGTGGGAGGCCTGAGTGGAGCCAAGGACGGGAGTCCCCCTGCAGTTCCCTCTGCTCATAGTCACACTCAGGGGGCCCAAGCTGGGGTGACCTCTGTGTCCTGAGTGTGCCAGGATGCTACTACCCAGTCCTCTGGCGAGGTTTAACTCCGTATCTGTGGATGAAGATTTCTCTCCCGAACTGTGCTCTGCAGACGACACTGGGTTTCTGGCTTGTACCTTTTACTCCGAAAGTCGGCCCCTGGGAGGGCTGCCGCAGACAGGCGAAGGAGTTGACGTTCAGGTGCGCGGTCAGCGCCTGCACCAGTCCGATCGTCACTGTGCTCTTCCCTTCTCCGAGAGGGGTCGGTGTGATCCTGAAGAAAAGGAGAACTGAATGATATTGCCCAGGTGGCCCACGGGAAACTAACCTCAGGTACTAGAACCAAGTCCAGACAGAGATGTCACTCCAAAAGCCACTCAAAGATGCCGTTTCCTTGGCCTTTATGGTCTGCCCGCAGCACACACCCCACACATACGCAAGTCAAGACACAGCTTTCCCAAGGGACCACAGAAATTAGGAAAGTCATTGGGCAGTAGAGCCAATAACATCATCAATTTCAAGAATGGCAAAGAACCATGGATGTGAGACTTAAGGAAAGAAGCCATTGTTGTGTCTTGTTCATTGGCAACTTGGCAGTCAGCCTTCCAGAGCCCCCTACTATGCCCTGGGCCCAGGTCAATGGTCCTTGAGTGGGTGGGGCACAGACAGCCCCTCAGGACCAGCAGGATCTACACTCGGCCCCCATCCATCTACTCCAGGCGTCCCTGGCCGGGGCTTGTCTCTGCCGGGCTCACACCCAGGCCGGCACATGAGCTCCTTAGTGCCAGGCAGGCTCTCCCCTTTCCAGACAGCTTGGCTTTATTTATTTATTTATTTATTTATTTAATGATTTACTTATTTACTTGAAAGGCAGAGTTACAGAGAGAGAGGGAGAGATGGGGAGAAAGAGAGAGATCTTCCATCAGTTGGTTCATTTTCCAAATAGCTGCAACAGCTGGGGCTGTGCCAGACCCAAGCCAGGAGCCAGGAAATCGATCCAGGTCTCCCATGTGGATGCAAGGGCCCAACCACTTGGGTCATCTTCCACTGCTTTCCCCAGGCCCATTAGCAGGAAGCTGGATCCAAGTGGAACACCTGGGTCTCAAACTGGCACTCATATGGGAGGCCACCGTTGCAGGCAGTAGATTAACCCACTGTGCCTCAATGCTGGCCCTGACAGCTTGGTTTTAAAGGGGGAGACATCTGCACTCCTGTGGGTCTTAGTTCTTAGAGTCTTACACACCAAGCCTAAATCCTTTTCAGCACAATAGCTCTTCAAATACTTGGAAAGTCTCTCTGCACCCCAAGGAGATGTGCAGTGCCCTGGAGGGGCCGAATGGAGACCAGAACACCCAACAAAGCCAACATTCACAGGTGCATAGCAACATCACAGTATTATGTACTTAGGATGGGAGACTATTAGAGGTCTCATAAAATTGTTCTTTAGCCTAGCATAACCATTGTTGGCATTGTAAAGTACTAACATTTGAGCTTACAAAATTTGTTCTACAAGCTAACTGATATGAGCCAGGTTGTCCAGGATGCTCACGCAGCCAATCTTCTAGGGTTTTCTGGCCTACAGGATTGAGCAATGTGATCACAAAGAAAGAATGCCTGGAGACACATGATTGGCTCCCTTGCTTGTTCAGACCACTCCTGCAATACAATTGATGATTCATTCAGCAAATATTTACCAAGCACTACAAAGTACCAGGTACTGTGCTGGACCCTGGGGACACAATGCCAACCAAGTCAGATTCTAGCTGATGGGAGACATGGTTCAATCACCAATTACAATAAGGGAGATCAACACTAAGACAGGACAACTGGGCACCTGGACTGTCGCAGTATGAGAGCACACGAAGGTAGGACTTCCTGCAGCAAGTTAGCACCTGATGAATAAATGCTAGCCAGATAAAATCAAGGGTGAGCTGGGGGCAGTTAACAGCCAAGGCACTCTGCTTTGTGTTTACTGGCTTCATTATTTGTATTCCCATTTGATGGATGGGGAAACTGAGGCAGAGTTATCAAGGCAGCTTGCCCAGTGTCACACAACTGGAAAGCAGTAGAGACTGGAATCAAACCCAGGCAAGTGGTGTGACTTCACTAGGCTATTATTTCTGTGGGTGGAAACCCTAGCTATAAATAACAACTTGAAGTACAGGTATGGACAAGCACCCAGGGAGAGCAGAGAGAGTAAGAAAAGGACTAGGGCCAGAATGGTGCAGCTCCTTCTAAGGAGTGGTCAGAGAGTGCAAAGGGAAGCCAAGAGGGAGCAGTAAAAACTAGGCGAATACAGAGGACCCAGGGAATGGGGGTCTCAGAAAAAGCCCAAGGAAGGCCGGCGCCGCGGCTCATTAGGCTAATCCTCCGCCTAGCGGCGCCGGCATACCGGGTTCTAGTCCCGGTTGGGGCGTCGGATTCTGTCCCGGTTGCCCCTCTTCCAGGCCAGCTCTCTGCTGTGGCCAGGGAGTGCAGTGGAGGATGGCCCAGGTCCTTGGGCCCTGCACCCCATGGGAGACCAGGAAAAGCACCTGGCTCCTGGCTCCTGGCTCCTGCCATCGGATCAGCGCGGTGCGCCGGCCGCAGCGCGCCGGCCATTGGAGGGTGAACCAACGGCAAAGGAAGACCTTTCTTTCTGTCTCTCTCTCACTGTCCATTCTGCCTGTCCAAAAAAAAAAAAAAAAAAAAAGAATGAAAAAGCCCAAGGAGGACACTGCTTCAAGGTGACGGCAGTCAGATGTCCCCAGGGTTGGAAGCAGGGTGTGGATTAAGAAGCGGCCAGCGGGATCAGTAACAAGGAGGTAGCCGGTGTCCTTACCCCGGGGGTAGGCACTCTGAGCCACTCCGAAATAAACCCTGAGCAATAGCAAATTAGGGAGAGGGGTCCCCAGAAAGACTCCAGGTTCCATAAAGCTACCTCCGCTGGGAGTCAGCTTTCTACTGCTTCAGAGACAACACGAGTAACAGCAGCTAAAAGCTGCTCACCATCGTACAGAAGCCTGCAAAGAAAAGTGGCATCCCGCAGGTCAGTGCAGGAAGCGACCTGCGCAGCCCTGTCTGCGAAGGAGGATGCAGCCTACTTCGGGGGTGTCACATGAAGGATTGCACTTTCATTCCCAAGGCTGTGCTCACATAGCTGCCGGAGACAGCCAAAAGCAGACACGCCCAGAGATGACCTCCTCAAACTTCAGTTACCCATCCAATTCTTAATGAGAAACACAGGTCTGCTCAGCTATCGGCCAACGAATACAATTCAGGGAAATCAGAAAGGAGGAAGTATTTACTGGGAGCAATAAAAGGAGAGCTACGATAAAACATTTATTTTACCCCACTTCTGCAATTGATATCAAAATTTGGTTTAATTTTTTCCCCAGGATCCTCAGCTCTGATTCCAAATCATCAAGTTGATTTAGAAAAGAATGAACACCAAGTTAATCTAATTTCTTTTTCGCTCAGAGTTCATGGAGATGGAGATGTGATTTTTTTTAAAATGAGCTTCCTCCACATTTCCAAGCAGATCAAGGCGCTCCCTTCCTGCTCTCCCCCAGTGTTTATTACACAGTCCTTAAGTAACTGCAGTCGGCATCACAATGCTTCAGGACGTGTCTGTGTTGCCTACTGGGCCACAAGTTTACTAAGGTGATGAGCAAGGTTCTTATCACCCGTCTGGGCACAGATGAGCAAAATCGGTCGATGATGTAAGGGCACATTTTCTAAGATGAATATTATTTATGATCAACTGTAGTGAACATTTGTACTCTGTGACGACTTGGACACAATCTGAAAAACACATACCATTTACCCAAAGGCCCAAGAGACTGCTTCCTTACACAGAGCATTGTTAAGACAACCATTCTCAAAATGCAGAATCGTGTTGGACAGTATTACTGCCATTAGCCGTAGGCCTACCCATGAACTCCAAAACCCAGTGTTGAAACTGCACAGGAATGTGGATTACTCGTCCCAGGCATTCTTGTGCTTGGAAGGTCTTTTACAGCCTTGTATTATCTAGTGATAAACCTTCTAGTCCATTTGGCTGTGTTTAGGGTAAAGAGTTCAGAGGCCCTATCCACAGAGCCTTCTTCTAAATAGTGTGTTATTTTTCAAGTGGCACAAATAAAACTCATAGTTAAATAATAGGTTACTCAAGACAGAAAGGCAAAATCTTAGAAAACCTAGTACAGCTTATTTGGACATTGTGCCAGAATAACGGGTTGAAACAATAATAATCAAAAAATGCCAAATCAGGGATTTGGAAATCTGCAGGAACAAAAGATGAACTGGCATGAGTGACTTCGATTTTTCTTTAATGTGAAGCTCTGTCTCTTCAGAAACAGGTCTGGGTTTCTTTTTCACTTGCTCTGTCCAAGCAATTCAGAGAAACTTCTGCATGGACATGGGCGAAGGCCCAACAGAGACCAAGTGCACATTCAAATGCCCCGCAGCTGTACTCCGAATCAAGTTCTCAAACAAAATTCCTTTTCATTAGTGTAACTGGGAAAATATGTAAAACTCAAGAGTCCCTAAGATTTGTTGGCCTATCTCCCTGAGCAATTCCCAGTCCTCCTCATTTTGTCAGGCAAAGAAAATACAGTGATGTGTAGGTGCAAATAGCATGCGATGTGTAGCTGATGAATTGCAGATGATTCTGACTGAGTAAGAAACCCTTCAGTTTTGAAGACTGGCTTTTGAAAAAGGAATTAATCTGTTCTGCATTTGGGTTGGTAATACAAGATTTTTTTAAAAAAATCCCATTGGTTTATACTTTAATCCCACTGTTGATATGCTGAAGTCACGTTTATAGATAAATGCACAATAATAAGTGTATTGTTATTTAGGTTGATTGAAAAATTACTTGGGTGTCTGAATACTAAAGCACGTCTGGAAGGCACTGATGTGACGGCTTTCAGGGAACAGGGACACAACATGGTATTCGTAACATGACCTCAAGTCCTGGAAGGAAATAATAAATATTTTTAATGCTTCTGAATAGTGCGGAATTGGTTTTGTTTCATTTTACTCTTCCTTACGTGAAGCTTTTGTACAATAAGCCACTATTATTTTCTTTTTTTTTTTTTTTTTTTTTTTTTGACAGGCAGAGTGGACAGTGAGAGAGAGAGACAGAGAGAAAGGTCTTCCTTTGCCGTTGGTTCACCCTCCAATGGCCGCCGCGGCTGGCGCGCTGAGGCCGGCGCACCGCGCTGATCCGATGGCAGGAGCCAGGAGCCAGGTGCTTTTCCTGGTCTCCCATGGGGTGCAGGGCCCAAGCAC